GCTCGCACGTGAAATAGTAAACTTCATACCTAAACTGTCACACGCCAACAGGCAATTTACAGTACCATAGCTAGGGCTATTTGGACATATGTGTCCAGGATTCGGACTCTCCAGTATCAGGCAGAGCAGTATTAAAAGCATGGGCATCGGTTTAGTATGGACTAATCCTAAGTCCGTCGTTACACCTCCGTTTAGCATAACCTTGGTCACAGTAAGTTAGTTACGGCAGTGAATTTCCGTTTAGAAAAAACATCCGGCGCACTTCTTAAAGCATTATTTCAACGCAGATATTGATGAGTTTGATAAGAACTCAGTTGCACAATCTGTCAAATACAGTGGGCTTATGGCTGTGCTTTGGCCGTGACTACAAGCTACGCGAACCTGAAGACACCAACTCATTTAGCATCTAAACCCAAAGATGACAAGCGGTATGGTGTGAGCACTTACGAGCCCTAGGAGCTTGGTATGGTACTGCTGTCAGTTGTTTGCCGTGACATACAATTCTTCAAGTACAATGAGAGAAGTGCACATCATGGCGTTCAGGCCGAACCATCATTAGAACCAGTTCCATAAGCACAATTTGGAGTAAAACCCATGCTTCGAATGGCAAGAACGCCGCCAAATCCCAACTGGACATTTATGTCCATACAACCTTTGTCTGCTGTGTCTTTCAAGACAACCAAATAAAATTAATTGTCAGGTTAAGTACAATGCATATGTATAGTAAACGTAAGACTGGTGGGTTAAGGAAATAGAAAACTGAGGTGTCAAAACGATCATAGCGCTGGGATCCATTCATGCGGACGCTGTATACTTGACAGCTGGCCTCAGTAGGAACGCCACCATAAGAATTGGTTTATACACACGCAAAGGTGGGGTTATTGAGACGAATGAAGCAGTATGATCTGATCGATTAGATGATATTTGAAAGAATTCATCCCACCTGTATCGTTGTTCCGGTATTGTCTGACCTAAAAAAAGTACTTGAGGATGAACCGGCGAAATCGCACTCTTTTGTCAGACCAACTTTTCAGAACTGCAACGGGGCTTATCCATCGCTAACATAACCTTTTACTCTGGTATTCCAAATTCAACTTTGAGCTTGTACTTCAGAATAAGCGATGTGTATCTGGATTATATACGAAGTTCTATTATCCTAGTAATCAAGACATTAGCTTTCAACAAATAAATCCCGGGTTCATTCTCAACTACGTGACGGGTCTGAAGAAGGACGAAATCGGTAGTGGGGTGCAGGGTTGAGAGACATCAACGTAGAAACTTTCAACTTCGATGTTTGGAAACACAGTTTCGCTGATTTAACGAGTGGCTGGGATGGAAAACTGATTTTTCAATGGACCGAATACGTCGACTAAATAAAATGACCACTAAGTTCAGAGCAATCGACTTCGCTTTTGCTTCTTTACAAGCAGTTCGAATTCTGTTGACTTTGTAAATGAAGCGTCATGACCTGATGTACGGAATGGGTTTGGCGTCGCGCAGGTACTACGCTCGGCACCTCACTTTGACGTCGTCTGTCCACAAAGTCCTTTTTATTTCGGAGACGAAATTGAGCGCTATACACATGCCTTAAAGACACTTTCTTGACTCTTTCTGCTACACTTCGTATTCATTCACCTTTTCGAACCTCATGGTCGTGCACCGACCTGAGAAAACACAAACACCTTGGTTCATTCTCGATCACACGTACCACCGACGGTTCACTGTCCGCCGTTGTGGGGTTCGACGTAGAGCTTATACTTTCCAGAAGTGGCCTAGCCGGCTTCAGTCAAACACCCAGCTGAGCGGTTGGGAAACAATTGCGTGCACCTCCTCTCCGTGTTTGTTTGTGCCGGTATCTAGTTTGTGTACACATGTTTGCTAATGTCAGCGCATGCAAACTAAGGGAGATAGAGCATTTCTGGTTTAGTTTTGCAACATTTTTCTTAAATCACGGTGAAACTTTGCAAGAGATCAACCTAAGCTATTTTTGTCGGATATAACAACGATTTTATCCCACTCATTGCACCTAAGTTCTTTATATTTTGGAGTAATTAGTTCTTTGCTTTGAAAAATAATGCGATACAATTAAACTGAACTTATGTTGGTTAGAAACAAGACATCTGATGTTTTGGTTCTTCTCAATGCTCGGATCATGGTATCCCTACCTCGAGTTCTACACTTAAGCTATGGCATTTCAAGCGTTAACAGAAATTTCGATAGCACAGAGATCAAAATAAGCGATTGTTTGCCCCATACCACATTAAAGAATAAGCATCAACGACCTTTTCAGCGCTCCTTATTTAGAACAATTTATTTGATGTACGAAGCTGGTCGATTTAATCATGGGGCCTGACAACCCCTTTTTCGCTCAGTATTGTGACGTGGAATCTCATTATTATGTCCTTTGATCGTTACTCTAGCAAGGATTGCAATTATGTGCATTGCTATGGTGTGAGTATAGGTACCGCATGCATTGAGTCTCCGACAAAATTCAGAGCTGTAGCTTGATGCTTCTCAAACGGCCTGCACCAAGCCACATAAACCACTCGTGTACATCCGGCTCCGCAAGTGAACTGATTACTCATTCAAGGTCACTTAGCTTGCCGGGGTCACTTGCGATTGTTGCCTCGGTTTGTCTACGGTGCAGATGCCGGCCACGGTTCCGGTCATGCAGTTAAATAAACTACCTGATCTCTCACGAGTGTTCTATAATCCCTTTCATTTTTTGCCTCGCAAGACACCCTACGGTCTCACACTAAAAGCAGTGTGTTTACAGATAAAATCCCCCACACATTAAACGGTCAGTCCACCTTTACAAAACCGTGTAGCCTAATACATATTTGATGTACAGGAAATGCTCCGATGTTGAACTAAGTGAAACAACGGACGCCGGAACCCGTACCAGGTGGTCGTTTTGTGTGAGAAAATCACTTTGGATGAGCGCTTCATGCAGCTTGTTGATGAGTGCGATAGCCGGCGTATTATGACGACATAATACTGTCACACAAAGCCATAGCGAATTTCACTAGCCGTCATTGATAAGTAGCCGGTTATGATGCACTTGGTGGATGTCATTACGCTGATAATGTGCACCTGGGCGAAGAGGAAAGTACTGTAAGCGGATATCCGCTGCCGATCGTCACTCTGCTATTTTTCTAACACAGAATTACCTTTTCCACCAAACTGCACCGCTTCCATAGGTGCTTTTCACATAGCAATCCGGTGCCCATGTAGCTTATTCAGAGTAAGCCGGTTGACCTTTAAAGCTGAATCCCGCATTGGTGCTGAAACAGAGAACGACGGAGATTGAACGATGGCGTTGGAGTACTGCGCATGTTCGACAGTTTGCTGCTCCTCCTTCCTGGGGGCGGGTTTCTTTCGATCAATATCATACATGTGGGGCCTGACTACAGTGAAATAACTGATCATACGTTTTAGTGACCTGCCTGATTTATTATTTTTCCAAGCACATGTTATTGGTAACTTGCAGACGTGCAGCGTATATTTCATTCTTTAATGCGATGGTATTTTCGTAGTGTTGTTCTCGTAGTTAAGCCATTGAAGGTGCTCGAATGCGATTACTTCATGGAACATGAAATTAACACCCAATTCATGCCCCGGTTGTTTGGCTACCGCCTATCCGCACCACAATGATCGCGCAGTGACTGCTTCGACATCGTAGTCACATTCCTCGAACCAACATGGCCGTGCTAGTTAGGATTCAGCATCGATAAGATGTCTAGCACAATCCAAGCACACAACGGGTATTCCGAAATTCAAAGTCCTATTGTTTTATGTCCGTAGACGATACGATAACAGCGGGAACGTAGCGTGTCTCTATCGCACCTTCAAAGCAACTCATGATATTGGTAAGCAAAGTGTGCTTATCGCGGTTAATGGCATGTGGATGGTTGTCTCATACACTAGGCCTCTCATTTCGAAGCTGCAGATATTCGTCAGCTTATCCTCCATTTGTTACCTAACTGCATATGCATCTATACGCCTGAGCTTGCCCAACATTGATCAAAACGCCTTATGGCTCACATGGTGGGCGACAGGGTGAAGTCGATAGACCCCGCACATGACGGCTTTTTACTTTTACTGGATTGCGTGAACGCTGTGTGCATTTCGTTTAGGCCCGACTACAGGCCACATTGTTCTCCGGGCATATCAACCCCTCTCAAGCAAGCAGCCAGATGGTTGTGTAGCATATGTTTTACCTGTTTACATTTGCACATCGAAACCTTGAGCTTATAGTAACTGTTAAAGCATTACTGTCTCCGCTGCGGTTGCGCAGTTGCAAGACGAGAGCACTCTTCATTTTCGCAGGGGGTGTAGCAAGAGATCCACAGCCTGGTCCCTTAGTTTCATCACCTCAGGTGTTACTTAATCAGCACTCACCAACTCAGCTCTTCTGTGCTGAGCCGAGTCCCACCGCGGTCCTTTCAGACCTGACAGTCGATTTGCATACCTGCCTCTTCCTTGTTACAACCTATGCTATCTATCTGCCTGTCCATTAGTCCGTAGGGCGTAACCCACATTTGCATCAAATCACAACAGACATATGGTTCACCATGATTTCCTTCCACCCTATATTTTGTGAGCGCCAGGTATCAGCTTCGCTCATTCACAATGGTTTGGCGAACAAGTGAGGGTCATGGGTGCACCTTTACATCTCCCACAGATCATCGGATGAAGACTAGCACACGCTGTGTGGGCAAACGGTCACCATACTCGTTGACATTACCGATGTAATAGGGCCCGATCGAATCCGTAATCAATTGCTATTAGTCAGACTCCAAAGTTTATTCTTTCCCCAAAGTTGTGATAACGGCTAATCATTCAGAGGTGACCTGATTGAATCAATCAAGTTGCGTTCTTGTCTGTGCGCGAATGTGGGTGCTGCTACCGCGCCTCCTGAGCGTCCGGTGAATTGCCATGCCCCTTACTTAGTCCACTTGTATAGAGACTGGGTCCGTGTCGGTCCGGACTTGATTCCCATGTTAGACGAAGAGTCTGATGCCACAGGGAGCGTTCTCACTAGCATAAGAAGACGCGAAGTTCGAAACGCACATCGTGATTTACAACATCCAGTCCCTTCGCTGCAAGTACAGCGCCCGAGCTCCATTGCGCGTACTTGCTACTATGCTGCATCTTACGGTGGAGGGGGTATTTACCTTGCGACTACGATGACAGCACCCAGTATACGACCAACGTACGGCAAATTCACTCGCGAACACGTCTCCATTGCTGGTTTGCATTCCAACGTCTGTAGGCGTTTCTACACACCGCACTATCGCTTCACCAGTCAATACATCATCAGGCGGGTTTCCGGTTTACAGGGAGTATCAAACTTGCTGATCGTTTTGTACACGCTTAGCATTAGTGATGCAGTTACTCCGGCAACAAGTCCAGCGGAAGTGTGGGTTATAGCACTGGTTCCCACTATTGATTCGCTTCTGCAGCTGTTTGAGCGCAAGCGTTTGCCCTACAGTGTTTTTGTTCTAATCATTGTGAATGATCAAACATTTTACATCACGTTCCGTTCCGTGTTCCGTCACATTGAGAGTCATCAACGTACGATGTGAACTGCAGTGGCTATGAAAGCTGTATATGTGTACCATTCGGTGAGAAACAGTGAGAAAGTTTTAACTGGCTTGTCTTCCGCATGTATAGTTAACCTGGCCTACTAAGATCCACAGATCGATGGTACGCGTATCTGTCGGAATGAGTTATTGTCAGCTTGTCACTTATGAAATGTAGAGGGACTGGACGCTTGGCTGAGTTTTGCTGTACGGAATGATGTCAGATGGAGGGAAAGGACTTCCACATTTCCTTCTATTCCGAATAGGCAAATCGTGATGTTTCCCGCATTTTACTATCGTACGCTTAAGCCAACTGTACTTGTCTACGCACATCACCACATCCGGCAGCGAAATATAGACCGTGTTAATAGCCAGTTAGTCTTCACGAAGTTTTCGGTTCGCCAACACTTGGGACCAAATATCCCACTTACGATATCTATTATTTTAACGAAGCATTCCGAATAGTCTTTAATTCTAGTGGTCTCAAGCAGTATTGGGATTCTGTAGTTACGAAAACAATACATCTGCTGTCGCAGGTAGCTGCGGAGGAGGAGGAGGAGGAGGAGGCGGGGGAGAAGTGAAACGAAGTTATCAACTGGGCTTATTTTTCTTCTGGATCCAGTCACTTGTTGGGCACCCGGTTCGACTCCAACGTACAAACGGCACTCTCAGTTGAGTGTAATCTGTGCAGCTTACAGGTTTAACAGCTCCCCATAAGCTGTGCGCACAAGCAGTGAACAGCCGTCTCGTCCTCCTCTCACACCTATTCGACCATGACTTGTAAAAGAAAGTTATTTGAAGGAACTGCATTCTTGGAGAGTAAAACTGATCACGTAATTATGTTCCCACTCCTACAATCGG